ACTATCTTTAGATGTATTTTGATATCGACGATTGTCGGTCGAAAGGCGCCTTATGTCATTTATTTTATTCCTTTTTAATTGTTAAATATTAAATTAAATATTAAATATTAAATTAGTTTTCCTTTCTTAAAAGTTGTTTTATTATGGTGTGGCAGTAAAAATTTATTTGCATATCTATATATATTTCTGCAGAAAGCCTTCACCACTATAATCAAATCATATGTGCTGGTGTCTGGCTGTCCGTTCCTAGGAACTGTGCTGTTTGAGCTGAGAGTTCACCATATATATATATATATATATATATATATATATATATATATATATATATATGTTATAAATTTTAAAAAAAATAATTATATCTGCTCTGCTTTGTATTGAGCCCTCTTTTAAGAATACTAATTGTTGGTTATTGGAATTCATTCCGTATACACCAATTATATATATATATATATATATATATATATATATATTAATAAAATATATTAAAAAAATAAACGAAAATACATGACCTTGCATCATTCTAACAAAACTTGTTTCAAATGAATTCGCTTTACCGAAATTTAGTTTTATTATATATATATATATATATATATATATATATATATATATATATATATATATTTCAGCAGCCCTTTAAATGAGTCTGCCGTGTACACCCGCCAGAAAGAAAAGTGCTCAACACCATCCAATATGATAGAGCTTTTCTGAACAAAGAATCACTTTTCAGTTGTACACAGTCTTATCATATAATCTCGGTATATCTATCTATCCTACTATCTATCTATCTATCTATCTATCTATCTATCTATCTATCTCTCTCTCTATATCTCTCTATATATATATATATATATAGATAGATAGATAGATAGATGGAAAAATTTTCAGAGGTAACCTGTAGAAAAAAAACAATATATTAAAAGAGAATAGGAAAATTGTATTATTAACCGTCGTGTTTCGTCCAATGTGGACTTTTTAAAGGCAGAAACGAAATGAATTTATTGAAAACAAAGTAACTATTAACAACAAACAATCTTTCCCAATATCACCTTTCCTAACAATCACTACTTTCCCAAGCAAACGTACATAACAGTATCAAGATATCAAAAGAAAATTGTTGAATCCGTCAACACAACAATGAAAATATTTCGACACGTGAAAGTACTTGACGTAATTTTCAGTTGACAATATGAATACAATAGCGTTTTCTAAATTCTTCGAGTTGCTAAGGACATTTTGTTTTGTTGTTAATAGTTACTTTACTTTTTACGTAATAGCAATAGCGTTGCTGGAGCCCTTAGACAATTTTGGCATAGACAAAATCACAGAAATAAGTGAAACCTATAATAACAGTGGTGATATACCGGGAGACCTAAATAGATCTATTTTCATAGCACTGCCTAAGAAGCCAGCTGCAAACGAATGTGAACCATATTGGACTGTCCTGGGTATAACGATAAACTACATCCGTGTCTTTGGTAATAGGATAAACTACACCCGACAGCAAGGCCTTTGATCAGTAGGTTTTGAGGAGCATGGAACCACCCGTTAATTGCTGGTGTTCCCAGGTCCACCCTGACCCGGGGTGGTAGCACCTGTTAGGATCCCAGCTATAGGCAAATAGTTGACCGCCCAAACTGGACTTAAAATCACTATGAAAGTGTAAAAATAGGTTTTAATATCAGAAATACTTTGTAAAATACCTTATTACCCTTTTGAAAAAAAAATTACCAGCGATACATTTGTGAAGAAAAATATTACCAGAAATAGATTTTTTGAAGAAAAAAAATATTACCTGAATATATTTTTGAAGGAAAAAATATTACCAACAATAAAAATTTTGTCAGCATTAAATAAACCGTTGAGGTTGATATGCCGTAAAACAATCCAAACCAAACCAAACTACATTGGACAATCAGCTTAATGAGCCATATAACGAAACTTATTATCAGAATTCTGATGAATAGACCGCGCAGCATTATCAAACCGCAAATAGGACAAGAACAGTGCGGGTTCATCAAAGACACTGGAACAAGGAATGTAATATTTATGCTCACAATCTTATCAGAAAGAGCACTACAATGCAGAAGGACGTGTACCAGTGTTTTATGGATTACGCAAAGGTGTTCGATAAAGTACACCACAAAGATCTGTTTGAACTGTAGGCAAACTTGATATATTTGTGAAGGGTATTATAATAATCAAGAGCCTATACTGGCAGCAAACCGCTTGCATACGGATAGAAAATGACTTCAGCAGACATACAAAAATAGGGGTGTAAGATAAGGATGTGTCTTCTCAGTGAGGCAGTTCTGATATAACTAGATGTCCTACCAGGATTCATTATTGTCGGCCACAATCTTTACAACATATGGCATGCAGATAACACAGTGTTGATAGCAGACACAGAAAGATAGCTACAAAACCTCCTGCAGGAGGTAGTGAAGGAAAACAAGAAGAAAGAATTAAACATCGACTGCATGAAGACACAATTCCTGGTTGTCAGCTTGTCCGTTTGACCTTGTGTGATACATCGGTGTAGTAAAATGTTCAATCGAGAACATTTCTACAAAATAATTTAAATTCGTAAGCATTAAATTGTGTACCGTTATCCGAGACTATGGCATCCAGAATGCAATATCTTGTAAACAGTTCCTGTAAAAATTTGGCTGTAACCGTGGAATTTTTTTTTTTTTTTGCACTTAGAAATTTCGGCCATTTAGTAAAGCTACCCACTACCACAAGAAAACGAGATCCGTTTATTGGACCTGCAAAATCTATGTGCAGTCTTGACCTTCGAGTATCTGGCTTTGGCCAAGTCTGTAATTTCGTGGTAGGTGATTTTGCTGCCAGAGCACAACCTCTGCAGGCTTTTAATAATTTTTCAATGCCTTGACCCATTTTGGTCCAGTATACATAGCTTCACATCTAAGATTTCTTTCTTGAAATTCCCGGATGTCCACTATGAAATTCATTTTATATCCGCTTTTTTAATATGACAGGTATTGTACAAACATCAGTAATCCGTTACATAGCAAGTAAGCGTTCAATTCTGGACTGCGTTCTAAAAATTATCTATCTTCTTTTAATTGTTTTCTTTTTTTTTTCAAAATAATCATGACTTTTTCTGCTTTTACTTTTATTTCTTTCGGGGTAACTGGTAGTTCGTGTACTAAATTTCATAATATACTTCTAATTTCTATTTCACTTTTAATGCTGTAATAAGAGTGTCCTCAAAAGTTTCAGTGTCTTTTGGTATCAAACTTGATAAACCATCAGCATGCCCTAATTTTTTGGACGCCTTGGTATTCCATCTAGAAATCGTAATTTAATAAGATGGTACTCCAGCGATTTAATCTATTCACTCTATGCGTAGGAATTCCTTTTTTCGAACCATAAATTGATAATAGAGGACGGTGGTCCGTCTGTAAACGAAACTCCTTCCGTGTATAAATTGGTGAAATGTTTTCACTGCAAATATTATTGCTAACGCCTCTTTTTCAAACTGGCTGTAGTTTTTCTGCCAGTAGTAGCGAATGCGAAGCATATGCGACAGCTTTCGTATTACCGTCATCATATTTATGTAGAATTACCGCTCCTATATTATAGTCATTAGCATCTGAAGGCAATACGATTTCTGCTTTTGGATCGTAGTGCAATAATGATAAGTGTGATGTTAATACTTTCTTGATTTCTTCAAATGCCTTCTGATACTTATCAGTCCAATCCTACTTTACGCCTTTTTTTTTTTAAGCAAATTGGTCAGTAGTTCTCTCACATTATACATATTAGATATAGAGTTTTGATAATAGTTTGCTAGTTCTAGAAAGGCTCTTAACCTAGTAACGTTTGTTGCTAATTGCACTTGCCCTCGGCGGATCTGGTTGACGACTATTTTTGTCAATGATTTTTTATACTTGATTTTAGGTAAAAACAATTCATACTTTTCCTCACTGAACACGTATTCTCGTATTTTTCCCCCCAAAACACAGGCCTGATATGTTGTTCCTTAGATACACTTTTAATTAACATATTATCGAGATAAGCAACTGCGAAATCATAATCTGCAATCATAGTAAGTATAGCATGATGAAATGTAGCTGGAGTTACTTTTATCCCAAAAGTAAGTCAGATTAACTTGTACAATCCCTTATGTGTATTTATAGTTATTAACTCTGAACATTCCTCAACCTATATCTGTAGAAAGCTTCTGCTTCTAAAACATTTTCCATTGTTTAAATTCGCAAAAACTTCCTCTGGACTTGGTAATGGATTGTTATCGGATTATAAACATTTGATTAATCCTTTCGAAAAATCAGCATAAACACATATTTTATTATATTTTTTTCCTTTACATAAACTGCTGACGCTGTCCATTTTGAACAATCAACTATTTCAATTACACCTATATTTTCAAGTCTGTCTAATTCTTCGCTGACTTGATCCAATGCTGCGAACAGTACACCACGTTCCGGTTTAAACACTGGCGTCGACCGTTTTTTTTTACTCGAAATTTCGATTTCACTTTGGAACACCAACCCAACTCATCCGATAGAAAACTGAAAAATATTTTTTCAATTCTTCTTTTAAAATTTTACACTGTTTTTTTTTTTTTTCATACTGGTAGCTTTTCAAAAAATAATTATAAGTAAATCCCACAACTCAAATAATTCAAACCAGTCAGTACTGAATAAGTTCGTAGTATTTTTAACACATAAGCCTTAGCGTTTACACACTTGTTACGAAATGAAACGCTACAAATCATTTCACCAATAAACAAATAATTTTTTACACAACATGTGCGATTTTAGAAGTTCTTTTTTCATGTAGGATTTCTGTTTACTTTCCATGTGTTTTCGTTAATTATTGTGATATCACTTGCAGTGTCTAGCTGCATTTTTACATCTGCATTATTAATTTTGACACACACAAAATTTTGTTCGTTTTCTGTAATTATCATTAAGATTATTTTTCTGTGAGAACATATCCTTGATTTAGTTTTACAGTGTGACTTTTTATGTCCTATTTTTCCACACTTGTAACTCATTGAATTCTTAAATGAACAGTCATCTCGTAGCTGTAACCTTTCACATCTGAAACATGGATTATTTTTTTTCTTTTTCCACATTTTTCTTTAACTTGTATAAATGTGCATTCTTTTTCTTCAATTTCTTCGTATCGCGTCTCCGATTTAGGATTCTCTGACGTTCGTCTGATATTTCTTTCAGTGTTATTTTCTATTCTGTTCTGGCGCGTATATCTGCGTCTATTTCGGCCGTTAACCCATGAACAAAAATTAAGCCTTTAAACTTATCAGTCCAATTCGTTTAATTTGAATCTTTCACACTCCTTATCAACGATTCTAGCTTATGTAACAAAATCTTTGTCGTCTTTTTTCGAATATTGAATAACTGTTTCTTCAAAGCCAATTTCTCCTGTATTTTTTTTTTTTTGTAGGAGAAAAATATAGTATTTTCATGTTCTGCTGGTGCTAACATTTTCAATAAAACCTTTTTATTTTCTCGCTTTCTCAGTCGCTGCATTTTTCTCTGAAAATTTGCTCATACCTTCTAACATCAACAAAAAAGGAAATTCAATCATCTGAATTGTATGTAAATTCACCTATGGCACTTGCCACCGCATTGTGAGTGAAAGAACTTGGGGAATTTTCCGTTTTCCTCCGCATTATTTCAATTAAAATTTATTGTTGTTTCTGGAGTGCCAACAACTGCTGTTGTTGCTGTTGCTGTTTTTGCATTTTTAATACAGGGGTTAAAAATTCTTCCATATTTAAAAAAATATCATTTTTTTCCTTCTTTTTTTCCTTTTTTCTTTTTTACACACACCAAAAAAAAAAAATGAAACCAGCGTTGTTCTAACTTTTCGTCGTCACTGTTATTATGTGCGCCGAAGCAAAAAGTACTCTTTCATATTCAGTGTGAATTTCGATCCCTTGTTTTTCTTTTATATCATGTTTCTTGTATTATAAAGCTATGATATATTTTGCCTCACGAGGTAATAAAGAACATGTCTCAGTTTTTTTCGGACAACTTTCATTCCAAAATGCTTTCCAAGAAAAGAGACTGCTAGCATAGAACTTACGGCTCCATCTTGCCAAATCAACAGTAAATTGATGAGATCTCGACGGCAGTCTAGTACTGAGCTTAAACTCATAATGTCTAGGTGTTATAGGGAAACGCTCATCGGAACAATTAACATGAAAATATTTATAGAAAAGGCACAAAGAAGTAACGTTACGGCGGTAGGAAAATGACAGAAACCGAGTAGCCAGATGAGGACCATTAATATTGCTGTTTTTTTGGGGGGAGAATATGACACTCACAGGACACACTGAAAACAAGACACACTAAGGAAAACAGCAAGTAACCTACCTAATAAAGTGATAGAATCACGATGGAGGGCATATGCACTTAAATGAATGTAAGGAAGTCGACTGGAATTCGAACTCGGCTGCAATATAAAATAGGTTGAGAGTATGTATGGTTCTCGTTTATTTATTAGTTATTTATACTAGTTAAATACTGTTTATTTATTAGGCTGTTAAATACTGTTTATTTATTAGGTTGTTAAATACTATTTACCTTTTAGGTTGTTAAATACTGTTTATTATGCTGTTAAATACTGTTTATTTATTAGGCTGTAAATACTGCTTATCTATTAGGCTGTTAAATACTGTTTATCTATTAGTTTGTTAAATAATATTTATTTATTAGGTTGCTAAATATTGTTTATTTATTAGGTTGCTAAATTTTGTTTATTTATTAGCTTGTTAAATACTGTTTATTTGTTAGATATTTAGATACTGTTTATCTATTAGGTTGTTAAATACTGTTTATTTATTAGGTTATTAAATACTGTTTATACGTTAGGTTGCTATATACTGGTTATTTATTAGGCTGTTAAATACTGTTTATTTAATAGGCTGTGTATTTACGAGAACAATTTGGCAAAGTTTAAGATGTGTACATGCAAAACGAAAGCGTATACACACTATTAGAAGAGTTAAGTTTCCTTCATCTTCAGGGTGGACCGAAAGTCTTGTCACCCATCCCCCTCTAAAAAAAAAGTAAATAGAACAATAGATGAACAATTAATACAGCAGTAAGAAAAAACATGTACTGGATTCAATTTATTCACTTTCATTGATGTAAGCATCCTCTCTTTCAAACTGTGGAAGCTCGTGTCAGCCATCTCAAATAGCAAATTATATCACGTAGGGATGAGAAAACTTTCCGAACACCCTGTACAATCTAACATTTGTAATATGGTGAATTCAATTTTCCCTTGGTGAATCACTACTAAAGGTTGGCATATACATAAGTGTGCTTAATAATTCTTATCTGCATTAAATTTCAGATATCCCTGGAGCATCAATATACTACAACAGTGGATGGTATTGTGTGAATCGAACTCACTCGGAACATAAACTTACTAATCAGCGCTCTTTGACAAGCGCCCACTTAAATTGCCAATGTATGAATTTCGGGATGCAGTGTCAACGCGTACAGTTGGATGCATAGGTTCAGTGCAAGCGTGATTATGTGAATATATGCTGAGTTTCAATTGGGTGGCTTATAAAAAAAAAAGTGTACTGAAATTTAAATATTCGCAATTATCGTTGGGTCATTTTTTGTGTGCGGTCTAATCTCGGCTTCAAGAAGGCGAAATTGAAAAGAGGCATGGCGGCTGGCGTACAATATGGCGATGCGGAAGAAATTGGCAGACGACCAAAACAACAGAAAACAAGAAAGAGAAAAAAATAAAGAAAAAAGAAGGAAAGCGTAAAAATGCGTAAATAAGAAAGGAAAAAAAAAAAGACTTCATCGTGCAGGAAAAATTGAAAAATAAAAATAAGATTTATTGGTGCTATTATTATTATTATTATTATTAGGATTATTATTATTACTGCTGTTGTTATTATCTGCTGAACATAATAAAAAATATAAAAACGATAATAACCAATGAAAAGAGATATAAGATGAACTACCATGTTCATTAAATGGTAATAAAAATGTAATTAATAACATTACGAATAAATAATAATAAGCTCAAGACAACAACAACAACAACAATAATAATAATAGACAGAATATGTTATACAAAGAAAGAAAGAAAGAAAGAAAGAAAGATGAATTGGAAATATGGGTGAAGAAGAAGAAGAAGAAGAAGAAGAAGAAGAAGAAGAAAGACGAGACCGAATAAGTTATACAAAGAAAGAAAGAAAGAAAGAAAGAAAGAAAGAAAGAAAGAAGATGAATTGGAAATATGGGTGAAGAAGAAGAAGAAGAAGAAAAAAGAAGAGAAGAAGAAGTTATACAAAGAAAGAAAGAAAGAAAGAAAGAAAGAAAGAAAGAAAGAAAGAAAGAAGATGAATTGGAAATGTGGGTGAAGAAGAAGAAGAAGAAGAAGAAGAAGAAGAAGAAGAAGAAGAAAAGACGAGACCGAATAAGTTATACAAAGAAAAATGAAAGAAAGAAAGAAAGAAAGAAAGAAAGAAAGAAAGATGAAAAGAAAAAGATGGAATTGGAATAAGAAGAAGAAGAAGAAGAAGAAGAAGAAGAAGAAGAAGAAGAAAGACGAGACCGAATAAGTTATACAAAGAAAGAAAGAAAGAAAGAAAGAAAGAAAGAAGATGAAAAAAGATGAATTGAAGAAGAAGAAGAAGATGAATAAGAAGAAGAAGAAGAAGACTTTAACTATAATGCTGCTTATATGGAAAAGTTCTCGGCCCAACAAATAAACCTTCACACATATATAAAAATAATAAGAATATGAAAAAGAAAATCTGACTTTTGACCGGATTCTCAGATTTTATCAAGTTCATTGGGCCAATAACTATTCAGCACCCCTCCCTTTTTAAGAAATAATATTATTAATAATTAAAATTGTATTAAAAAAATAATAAAATAATAAGAATTCAAATAAAAAGAATCAACTGACATTGGGTTTTATTAATTAAAATGTGACGCTGTAATAAAGTATTTGCTTGGTAATAATAAATTAATAAAAAACAGAATTTCTAAAAAAAATGATATTGAAAATAATAGCAAGTAGAATATGAATAAAAAAACAGCAACAGCAGCAGTAGTACACGTATTATTATTATTATTATTATTATTATTATTATTATTATTGTATTATTAATAATAATAATAATAATAATAATAATAATAATAATGAAGAAAAAAAGGAGGTAAAATTAATAGTGATAATGAAGACGATGTTGGCAATGATGACCAATGGGGAAAAAACTGAATCGTTGATAGGCAAGAAGACAATCAACAAAGATGGTGGATGAGAAGAAATAAAAATAAAATAGCGAGAAAAATATGTCATAAACGGGAATGATAGAAAATATGAGGGAAAAGATTGTGCCAATAATGTTGGCGATTATTATTATTATTATTATTATTATTATTATTATTATTATTATTATTATTATGTTGCTGTTGTTGTATTGAGATTAGGCCTGACAGACTGGAGACGAAGGAAAAGATGGCAAGATTAGAAATAGAAAAATTAGAGAGAAAATCTAATAAAAAAATAAGTAGCAACAAAATGTTTAAAAGTAAAAGCCGAGGAGGAAAGACAAGCAGAAGAGAGAGAGGGGGGAGAAAGAAACACGCTGGAAAGGAGGCTGTCTAAGACACAAGTAGAGAGAGAGAGAGAGAGAGAGAGAGAGAGAGAGAGAGAGAGAGAGAGGAAGAAAAGCTAGGAGAGTATGAGAAAGGAAAGGTGGAGAGAAGCGAAGCCAGGAAAGAAAAAAGAAGTAAAAGAAGCAAGAAGAGGAGGGAGAAAAACAACAAGAGTGTGGTTTGGGAGATTCGGGGTATAATAGAATTTGGAGAAAAAGGAAGAAGAAAGATCAGACAGAAAGAAAAGGAAGCACTTTGAATCGATGTGAGCGTAGTAAAAAAAAAAAATTAAGATACGTTGGTAGAAATAGCTATTACTACTACTACTATTACTACTACTACTTTTA